GCCCAGGGGTAGTGGTCCTGCCATGAGATGCTCAAGGCCAGTGAGGGGAGTGGGCCCTGCACTGATGGACAGCCCTGGCCTCGAGGCACTTTCTGGGTGTTGTGCCCTCTGGGAAACTGGTTTCCCAACCACATGCACTGAAACAGAAATAAGGACTGAGCTTGTTGACAAAGTGCCAGCCCAACGGGGAAGTGGCAGTGTGTCTGCTGCGGAGAACCAGTGCAGCAGTGCCCAGGGGAAGAGGCGTGCATTTGCCTGTGTTCAGACATCTGGGTCCTCTGAGCGAGCTGGGGAGTAGGAAGTAGGTTAGGCCCGGAAGGATTTTGACCAAACTACAGGCCTGATCTCAAAGCTGCCATCTGTGTTCTTGAGACAGGATGAGTGAATCCATTTCCCATGGTAGACCCGAGGGTTTAAAGAGGATGCATTCCCGAGGACATTCCAAGTCATGAAATTTGCAAGATTTGAAAATTAAGACATTATGTAAAGGTAGATATGGCACAAGATGCCAGGAACATATTTAATCACACAAGCTGCTGTCAGAAGGTATGGGATCATATTAAGTTTAGCTACTATTAGACATTTATTGGTTTGTTTGTTTTTAATATATTTTATTGATTTTGTACAGAGAGGAAGGGAGAGAGATAATTAGAAACATCGATGAGAGAGTGTCATCTATCAGTTGCCTCTTGCACACCCCCTACTGGGGATATGCCCATAACCAAGGTACATGCCCTTGACCGGAATCGAACCCGGGACCCTTCAGTCCTCAAGCTGATGCTCTATCCATTGAGCCAAACCGGTTTTGGCTAGACATTTATTGTTAATGAACTGCAGAGAAGTCACTGAAGATTGAGTTTACAGAAAGCATACTGCATCTGTCTGTGTGTGGGACATTTGATTCACTTGTAACACATGCAGTTTAAAATGTACTGAAAACCATCTAGATGTAATGCTCAAGGTAAAAAATAACGTAGGTGCTCTACTGTTTCGATAAGTTGTTTTCCGTGTTATGTCCCTTCATTCACAGGGGTGGATTTATTAAGAGTTCTGGGTCCCTGTTTCGGATTTCTTTTTCTGCCTTAGGCTATGATTCCTGAATTAGAGATGCATGTTTCCTTCTAGTTTTCAACTCATTTATTCATCTGGCAGACCTTCCCAGAGGCAGGCAATGTGAACGGAAGGCTCAATTCCTATGTTTCAAAGACTCAGTTTAATGGGGGAAGCCTTATCCAATTTATTTTAATGAACTATAATAATAAAAGGGTAATATGCTAATTAGACTGGAAGTCCTTCTAGACAAACCCAGGGCTGGAGCGAAACAGGTGCTGGCAGCCGGGGGAAGGAAGGCCTGCTCTTGCACAAATGTTCGTGTATCGGGCCTCCAGTGCACTATAAAAGGACTCAAGCTCCTGAATTCTGCACGCAGCGCGATGGCAGTCATGAATCCACCCGTCTGCTCTGACTGGAATCTTGTCAGCTCTTTAAGCCTTCTGTCTGGGCTCTTGTCTCTAAAGCAAGGGTCTAGGTCTCCCAGGTGGTTATGAGTATTAAATGGCATCATCCGTGTCTGTAAACAGCCTTGGTCCTACATGACAGCCACTCAGTAAATGGTAGCTGTGGTTTTATGCTTGAACGAGACAGGGACCCAAATCTACAGGAAAACAGAGACCATATTTGCCAAAGTACTTCCAAGAAGCTTCACAGAGGGGATAGATCTTGAGGCACAGGAAGCACTTCTCCAGTGAACAAGGAAGAGAAGGCATCCTCGGACAAAGTACGTGGATGTTCAGGTATTTTGATGGGCTGCTATGGAAGGTGTTTAACAAGTCTTTATTTGAATGTTAATCTTTGGGGAAAACTGGCTATGGAAGGAGGTCCTGCCAGATGTACTCCAACCTCCTGATGCCTCTTGCTGCCCTACCCCTTGCTTGGCTTATTAGCAGGAATATATTTATAGCCCCAAAATTTTTTGTACTTTCAATCTTTTTAGATTAGGCAGCCGTAGCAGGAGGCCCGTTTGGCCTCTAGAAAAGGTGGTGGGGTTGCTCAAACAAGGTGTGGTCCAAATTGGGACACTCAGGAAAGGGAGCTTTAATAAAAACTATGCCAGGAAAATAGATATAAACCAGGACTGTCCTGACCATTAAACAATAAAAACCTCTTTCCTTTTCCACAGCACCCCCCCCGTGTGCTGTTTCCCACAGGCAGAACTGAGGAGACAGGCCCTGGTTCATACAGGAAATGCTTGTGGCTGCAGAAAAACGGAGGGTTATATAAACCAATTCTCCTTATAACCACCTTCTTAAATTACATCTCACCCCACACTACACTCCAAAGAAAAATCTAGTACTTCAGCTAGTCAGCAGTATTGAGAAGAAAACATGAAGTAGCCATGATGTTCCCTTGACTATACAGATCTTTCTAAAAGGCACCTAACCTTTCCTCACGTTTTTCACAAGCAGGACAAACATCCTTTTCCTTGGATTATTCCTTCTCTGGACATTGATGAATTTGGAGTTACCACCTTGCAAAGCTGTCTGTCCCAGGTGTCGCGTGTTGTAGGTGCTCACGACTGCTTCCTCACTGCCACCCCTCGGGGCTGTCACACCGGACGCCCTCCACGGCTGTGGGTGACTTACCTTCCGTGTCTGCTTCCAGCCACCACTGCAGCCTCCCTCGTGCTTGGCTTCAGGCCTGCCTCAGGCTGACAGGAAGTTCCCAAGCATGCCCGAGTCCTGTTCAAACGGGGGAGGCTCCAGGTAGGGCCAGGCACAGCTGACCCTGCGGAGGATTGTTCTAATGCACACACTTCTGTCCTTACCGTTCTTCCAGCCCTTGCCAGCCTTAAACATGAAGAGCCCAGGCCAGAGGGAGAACAGCTTAGACCCACCTGTCGTTACCACCATCCTCCGCCTCCTCCCTGAGGCTCATAAGGATTGAATGCTGTAGAAAAAGAACTTTTAGGTAAAAAAAAGTGTGTGTTTTTTTTTCTCCTTTTATAGGAAAAAAAATTACACAATAGTGTTGAAATAGTTCAAGTTTAATTTGATGATATATGGTCTGTACTTAGACAAACAAGTTATACAACATACATAACGTGGGAAAATACCAACTTTGTCATTGCACATACCAATAAATAAATACATTTGCTCCAGAATACCAAAGAGTTTATTCAAAAAGTCAATAAAAGCACAGTTTTGCAAGTTCATCTAAAACTCCAGATAATCTTGAACAAAAATAAATGTCTGACCACTCCAAGATAGGAAAAGCCGGTCTTGTGCAAATAGACATACACACTGTAAGCGCTATGAAAACTGGCTGTTCTCAGCCCTCCCGACCAAGACCCCTTCGTCACCGAACAGGAAAGGGCCAGAGCGGGCTCCCTTTCTGCGCCACTCCAGTCACTCTAGGACTCTCACCAGCCTCGTCTCGGCTCTGCCTGGACCTTGATTGGGCGGGGGGGCAAGCAATAGAACAGAAGGGGGGGGGGGGTGTGTGACATGAGCTAGAAACGGTGGTGATGAAAGCAAGGGTCCACTCCCAGCCACCCTGATTCCCAGCCTCCTGTTTGTTCAAAATCACATACTAGTAGCCACAAAGTACCGGAGTGCTTTCTGTAAGACCAACTTGCTTCTCAGCTTGGTTGGAAAATTAATTTGCACTCCGAACCATTCTGGACATTGGCTACCAGCTACTCGACGCTACTTTGCGGCGGAAACGTGCGTTGAATTAACTCAATTCCCCGTAATCACTAATAAACTGCAATGTCCCCTGAGAGGGGACAGCGGAGTGCAAAGAGTTAAAAAGCCAAACCTGTCCCAGTACTTCTGCTTGCCTCGGCCCTGTATCCTGAAACGACAGAAAACTTGGAAGTATGAGGGCAGGTGACTACCAATAAACTCAAGCCAGAGCCCATCCTTTGGCCTGTCCCTGGGGCTGCCACAAGTTCAACTAAGCCAGAGCCCAGGGGAGTCAGGCCCACGCAAGCCGGGCACCACGGGGAAGGCTCACTCAGCTAGCTGGAGCGGTGTGCTGAGGTCACACCATACCCGGCGAGGGTGAGGACTTCTAGAGGGTAAGGCCAGTGTCACTGAGTCAGGGGAAACCGGGACTCCGCCGGGAAGATGGGATTTGTGCTTGCATAACAGCCACAGATGTGCTCGGCCAGCATCTCCCTCCCTGCAGACCCCACTGCGAGGAACGCACGGAGCTCTCGGTGTGAAGCCAGCGCCGTTGCTTGCTCAGTTTAGAGGCCAATGCCCTGATCTTTATAGACAAAGAAAAACTTACACAATTTTCTTGCCCTTTTTGGGAGGCGGACTCCGAAGACCACCTTCACGCCTGCAGTTACCATACTCCCAGCCCTGCCCACAGCATGGCGGGACCTTACGTGCTCCTCCCGAACTAGCCGTGTTTTCTAAGGCACAGTCACCAGAATACGCTCAGGTTCATCCAAAAGCGTGCACACAACACAGGTGTCCCGGGTAACGCAGAGGGGGAACTGACACCTTCCTCAGACCAGGTTTCCCAATCCACCTGGGAGACGCGCTTCCCAACAGCCCGAACGGCATGAACAGAGTCTGCAGGTTCGCTGCATCCTTATCCCTTTCCTGCTCGTTCTCAGAAACAAACTTCAGTTGATTCTTAGCAGATTGCCCTTTACCCCAAACACGCACAGACACAGAGATGCAGACAGACACAGAGCACCTTGGAGCCAGAGGAAAGAAAACGAAGAGGCAGAAGTGAATGTCGCCACTGCAGAAGAACTGTTCTGGGCAGAGGGTGTGGAGCACATGTGTCAAACACAAGGCCCGCGGGCCAAATCCATCCCGCCAGGCCTTGCAATGTGGCCCGCACCGTGCTGTCATCACTGCACTCCGCTGCGTTTCCATGACAATGACAGTTTATGACTGTTCAGTAAACCATTCGGCCCGCGATTTAGGCTGGATTTTAGATTTTGGCCCCTTCTCTGATTGAGTTCGACACCCCTAGTGTAGAGGTTTGGGGTGTGGCCCCAAAAGGAGCCATGGAGCCAGGAGCAGTCCCAGAAGGGGCGCCTGCTGTCCCACACCCACAGGGACTGCCCATTCTATCATCGAGTGCCAACCAAGGGCCATCTAGGCGGAGGGCAAGAACTCTTACTATGGAGAGGCGGGGCCCTGGCAGCTTCGAGTCTTTGGGCCCACAGCTCCTGGGCGTGCGTGTGTGTGTGTATCCTGGGGCAGTGGTCCAGGACAGCCAGTGTCACCAGGAACAGGACCGTAAGAATAGACCTGAGGCTGGGTCTCGAGCAGGTGACAACTGTTCTTGTTTATCACTCAATACCCAACACGGTCTTGTTGCTAAGCTACCCCTGCACAAGCAGCGAGCAGTCAGCCCACATTCTGGTCCTACCAAAAGCGGGAGTTTGCCGTTGTGCTTCTGGTTCCTCCACGCTGCCCCCAGGATCCCCTCTCACTAGGATACAGCACCAGCTGTTCTGCCTTAAAATCACACTCCGAGAAACAGCGTGACCAGACAGCAGAGATCATCTGGTTTCCATCATCCCAACTGGCAACAGGTCTGTTCCCCACGTCAGGAAAGGAAGAGCCAAAGGGACCATGGGAAGGAGGAGGGCACCGCAAGGTTTCCCCGGGAAGTGGGCAGCCCTCCACAGAAGGCCCCGTGCCCGGGGGACGGTCCCACCGGGAGGCCTCAAGGAAATGCCGGGTGTGGGCGATCTGGGCTGACAGACAACCTGCTCTGAGAATCCCACGGGAACCTGTGCTTCAGGGAAATCTGAGCACACTGCCTCCACCCGAGTCAGAACAGCTCCTTCACCTCATGGCAGGCCTCACTGACAGGTTTTTAAAGCATCCATTTCTACCCAGCTCCCCAAGCACATCTACTCTGACGGGAGGAACCACTGCTTGCTTCCCACTGACCTGCTCTCCATCGGGGCCAATAGCCTCTGCAGAGTGAACCAGGGAAAACGACAAAAAGGCAAGAGGGGGTGCCCCTGTGCTCAGGGAGAAGAGCATGTTGGGGGAAGGAGAGATCAGGCCCCATCCTGCACACGCACTGCCCAGCACACCCACATGCAAAAATGGGCAGCAGCCTCGCCAGGCCTGCTCTCTGGGGGAGCCAGACACGGGTCGGTCCTGATCCGTCTGACGTGCAAAAGGCGAGACGGCTTTCAGCAGGGAACTGCCAATCCACTGAAATAGTTTCCATTTCAGTCTATAGCCTCCCCACCCCAAACACGCACCATCTCATCTGGGGCGAGAGCATCCAGACTGGGCCCCCGGGAAGGCCCGGAAGCCAGAGAAAAAGGTTTTTTCGGGGGGATGGTGGGAACACAGAAATCCAGGGAGCTGAGGCTCTGACTCGGCCACTCACCAGCCCGGTGACCCCAGGCGAGTACTGTTTTTTGAGTTGTACTAGTTGGTCTCTAATAGTCCTGCCACCTCTCATCTGTAGGGATTCTGCAGTACGCCCGCCCTCCCCAGCCTGTCCCATCCTCCCGAGGACTCGCAGGGCGGCCCTCAGCAGCCACGACCTCGGCTCACGGCAGCAGGAGCTGAAGCCCAGGCAGAGCACGTGGAGCTCACCAGCCCCGGCCGGGCACGCCTACCTGTGTGGAGTCGGGCTGGTGACGTAGGCCGTCCATGTTTCCTGTACAGACTGCTGGGCAGAGCTCCCAGGACAGCCTGGTCCAGGATGCCCGTCCACGCACCTCCCGTATGCTGAGCCTGTGTCCTGCAGGCCCCATAAGACAGCTGGCCTTGAGGGCTGGCCTCCTGCTGCCTCTGTGCACAGGGAAAACCTAGAGAAATCAAATGCACTAGAAGCCGAGGCCACCAGGCAGTTCCCACCGCCAGGCCCCTGCAACCTTGACAGGGTCCTGCCACTGACCCTTCCCCTACCTGTGACCTCTCCCAGGCTTGGCTGAGGCCTGCTGAGGTCAGGGACTTCCTGCAGCTAAGGGCCAGGCTCGGCTGCCAAGCCCTTTGCTGGGTGACGGAGACGGCCCTCCACACCCACACTCACTGTGCCCCTCCCTGTGGGGACCCGGGGCCGTGGACTCCTGGTGGAGTGGGTGGCTGGGCCCCAGCAGCCCGGCATTGTGCTTCCTCTCTCTACACCTCTTCCTGCCTTCGCAGCTTGGCAAACACGACTGCAGCAGGACGCTAACCCAAGACTGGGTGTGTGTGTGTGTGTGTGTGTGTGGATCCTGGGGCACAGAGAGAATTCACCGTGGGCCCTTTACACACACCCCACTTCTCTGCCTCTCGGCGGCGGCGGAGCCAGTTCCTGGCCAGCGGGGCCAGGCGGCCCCCCCGAGAGCCACGGGTTCATCGGCAGGAGGCCTATGTACAGGGGGCGGGCAGGCCCGACGGACGGGAGGAGGCCTCTATTCACAGGCCAGCTTGCTGTCGAAGCTGGACAGGGCGATGGAGAAGGCCTGCAGCGCGCACAGCGGGTAGTTGTAGTCCATGGTGAACACGTCCTCCGCCACGCGGCCGAACTGCATCACGATGTAGTCCGCTGGGGCCGGGCACCGTGCAGGCGGGAACGGAGTCAGGACAGGGGAGGCGGGAGAGACAGACAGACACACCCAGATCACAAGGTGGAACAGGAAGCGAGAGGCAGAGGTGCCCGGGGACTCTCCTGGGAGGTGAGACAGACCAGTGGGGGAAGGGCAGGACAGAGGGGCATACAAACACCAGGCGATGGGGGCGGAGAGAGACACTCCCACCCTGAGAGGGTCCTCCCGGTCTCCCAGGCTAACCTAAGCTGTGCGACCCCGTCCTCGGCACCGGCCGCAGGGCAGGCCGGCGAGCCGGGCCTGGCGGGCACGCGGGCAGCCACGCCTCGGGGCGGACACTCACGGTCGTTGCCGTGGATGATCTGGAAGTTCTTCACGGAGGCCTGGGTGACGCGCCCGTGGAAGTTGAGAACGTAGGACTGCGTGTCGTCATTCCAGACAGGCGTCTTGTTTTGCAGCTCGATGATAGTCTCCGTGTTCTTGTTCTGCCAGCGCGCCAGCAGCGTCTCGTGCTCCTGGGAGAGCAGCCTCGGCTCCGTGACCGGCCCGGGGCCGTGGGATCGGGCCCGGGGCTGGGGGATCCTCAGCTTTCACCAGACCCCCGGGCTTCTCACACTCTGCCTCCCCTGCAGACACACTAGCTGGCGTTCTGCCCTTAGGGGCTCATGCAGAGGCGGGGGGGGAGCGAGGGAGAAACTCACGTTTCGGGGCCGGATACAGACTCTCTCGTGAACCATGTTCATGCCTGGGACAATCACCGTCATCTTCCGCGGTCCCTTAAAACCTAAGACGTTTGTCTCCTGGGGAACAGAGAACAGTGGCCACCTGAGGACTCGCCTTACTGGGGAGGCTGGAGGAAGGGAAGAGAGAGGAGCTAGTTCTCGCCATCTCCACCTGAGCAGCTAACAGGATCTAAACTTAGCACATCCAGACGCCGCGAACTCCCGAGTCCCTGCCCTAACTAGCTCCCCGTGCAGTCCTCTCTGCTTCACTCAACAGCAAGTCAGCAAACTACCTGGGGTCATGCCTGACTCCCCTCTCTCACACCCCACCTTCTAATCCATCAGCTAATGCTGTCAGCTCTACCTTCAAATTACATCAAGAACCCGGTCACTCTCACCCAGCACCGTCTCACTGAGCTCACGGCAAAACCTCCGTGGACTCCTCCTCCCCACCCGCGGCCCCTCCCCGTCCCTGTCGCCTGCTCTCCACTCGGCAGCCAGTGGCCCTGTTAAGTCACGTCATTTTCCTCCCCAGCTCAGAGTAAAAGCTGAACCCGTTACCCCCAGGCAGCTCTTATGCTCCCTGCACTCGCCACCCTCCTTGCTGCTCCCCGTGTGCCAGGCATCCGTGTGGTCCTCTCCCCAGCACCCACACGGCTGGCTCTCACTCCTTCCAGGCTTTCCCCTGTGCTACCTCGGAGAGGCCCTCCCTGCCATCCCCCTAAAAGCTCACACACACACACACACACACACACACACACACACCTGGATACTTCACAGCCCTCCCTCCCGCTTTTATTTATTTTTTTTTATCTTAGCATTTATCAGGAACAAATATTGCTTTTGTCTATTTTACAGCTTATCTCCTTAAACTAAGGGTTTAAGTCCCATAAGGGTATACGTTTATGTCTCTTGTTCATTACTATACTCTCAGTGCCTCAAACAGTACTTGGACACAACATAGTTGGGGCTCAGTAGTTTAAGACAGTGTTTTTCAACCTTTTTTGGGCAAAGGCACACTTGTTTCATGAAAAAAATCACGAGGCACACCACCATTAGAAAATGTTAAAAAATTTAACTCTGTGCCTATATTGACTATATATAAAGTAATTCTCTTGAATAGGAATCAAATAAACACGAAGAAAGTATTTTATAATTACTTTATTATGAAATATTAAGTAAACAAAATAGTGAAAAATTATAAAATTCTTGTCTTGTCTGCAGTGTGCCGCGGAATAGCGGTTGAAAAACGCTGGTTTAAGAGATCCAGACTGCCTCCCTAAAACTGACCAGCAGGTGGCACCATATGATCATACAAAACAGCCAGACAGCTATGGCTTCCCAATTAGCCCAAGTTGCTGGGGGTACCAATCCCTCATTTTAAAATGAAGTGAAATCCGTTGTAATTTCTGGTTGGTCTGAGCTGTGTGACACTGGCTAGTGACCCACCTCTGAGCTTCAGTTTCCTCATGGATATAATTTAAAAAATAATAAGACTGAGCTCTTAGACTGAGCCTTCAGTAAGATAACGAGGGCCTTTCGTCCATCAGGACGCTAGAGGGAGGAGTGGAGGGATGCACAAACAAAAACCCAGGCCTCCGGCCCCTCCTCTGCGGGAGGCTCTGGGGCTGGGCTCTCCCAGGCAGATGGCCTCCTGGGGTCTGCACTCAGAGAGAGGAGAGGGCCTGGGGACAGCCCACTTCCCTGCAGCTTGTCCCCACAGGGACGGCCCACAGATCAGGCAGCCAGTCCTGACCGTCACATCCCACTTGGGGACCAGAGACCCAGGAGCCGGACTCACGTAGCACACGGCGGCCAGCTCCTGGCGCAGGGTCCCACCTTCCAGTGTGGAGGAGGACGCCTTCTGGGGGTTGACTCCGTTGTCATAGACGGTGAACTTAGTGCCCATGAGGTTGGATCTGCAGGGCAGGCACGATCAGTACAGGTCACCCACCCTCGGCCCAGGGCAGCAAACAGCTAACAGTCTGTCCTATGAGGAGCCTGCAAAGCATTCTGGGCGAAGCCAGGAGCCAGTGTGGGGGCACACGGCTCACTGACTCCCCATCTTAAAGGGCAAAAGGCCTGGACTTGCTCTGAGTTGCATCAAAGAACCTCTTGGTTCCGGGGTAAATTCAGGGAAGGAAGTCAGGGTGCCACAGAGTGTCTCCCTGGAACAGACGTGACCGAGCGGAATGGCAGCTGGCAAGACCGCAGAGGGGACGCAGCCCGCCATGCAGACTGGGCGAGCCGGCCTGTCCCATCCAGCCTGAGTCCTGGTCCAGCCCCATCTCCACAGCTGTGGCTCCTTACCTCTCAGCTTGACTTATGCTCCCCAAATCTGGCCCTCCGTTCCTCAGCAAACCCTCCTCCCCGAGGCTGGCTCCGAGCCTTCCTCTCCCCAAGGTGGTTCTTTCTCCGTCAAAGCCTCACTCTCAGCCCTGCCCCTCAGCACTGGCACGGCCAACGTGCCTTCGTGGTGGCCCACATCATCAGTGACCTGCTGGGGCTTGATCCATCCTCGGGGGTGGGGGGGACCTGTGCCCCATCTGGCTGGGAGCAGCCGAGGGTGGGTGTGAGGCCCACCTCCAAGTCCGGCTCCGGCCGGCAGAGTAGGATCGGAGGGACAGAGGCCCGGGGAGAGGATCTGACTCCCAGCCTGGTTCTCCTCCCCGGGAGAGCCTGCCCTCCCCAGCCTGGGGGCGTGCGCGCTGGTACCGCAGTTTCCCGATGTAGCTGTCCCCGCCTCGAGACAAGTCGGTAGGGTCCACGGAGATGAGGTAATTGGATGTTTTGCTCTTCTTCCTTTTCCTTCCCGCCAGGAGGAACACCTTGGGGGAAGCAGAGTGAGTTACACTCCAGACCCAGCCTCTGACCGCACACAATCCCGGTGCCGCTCACACACTGCACTCACACGAGGCACTGGCCCTTCCTTGCTTCAGTTCCTGAACTCAATGTGCTCACACACAGGCACACGCTGGCAGCACAAAGGCACGCACACAGGTACACGTAATAGCAGCACAAAGGCGTGCACACAGGTACATGCAATAGCAGCACAAAGGCGCACACAGGTACATGCTCTGGCAGCACAGAGGTGTGCACACAGGTACACACTGGCAGCACAGAGGTGTGCACACAGGTACACGCACTGGCAGCACAAAGGTGCACACACAGGTACATGCAATAGCAGCACAAAGGCGCACACAGGTACATGCTCTGGCAGCACAAAGGCGCACACAGGTACATGCACTGGCAGCACAGAGGTGTGCACACAGGTACACGCACTGGCAGCACAAAGGTGCACACACAGGTACATGCAATAGCAGCACAAAGGCGCACACAGGTACATGCTCTGGCAGCACAAAGGTGTGCACACAGGTACACACTCTGGCAGCACAGAGGTGTGCACACAGGTACACGCACTGGCAGCACAGAGGTGTGCACACACAGGTACACGCTCTGGCAGCACAAAGGCGCACTGACCAGGCACGAGGGCCTGTCTCCGGGCGAGCTGGAGGCGGGAGTGGGATCTGAGGCTGCGGTCACATCCCAGCCCCCGGCCCTCAGGCCTGCAGGAGACATGCACGCTCCGGCCCGCCCCACCTTCTTCCCGTCCTCTCGGTCCAGGTGCAGGAAGTAGGTGGGGTACATCCCCCGGTCCATCCCCTTCTTGTCCCTCGAGATGCGGCACTTGATGGTGATGCCCTGGGGAGCTGGCCTCTGTGCAAACTCCTCCAGATCCTGGACCTCAACTTCTGCCGAGGGCTCGGGGGCTGATGGGCTGAGGGCTGAGGCTGCCTCCTACAGGGGAGAGGGGGACCCCGAGCAGCTGAAATTGGGGGTCTGGAGTCCAGAGCTGACCTTTATGTGGTGGTGGTGGAGATGAGACATGGGCCGTGGATGCGGGCCAGCCTGGCCGGGGGTCATCAGCTGGCTTCCCGCCCTCCCTCCCTCAGCATCCCTGGGGGTAGAGCTGGAGGACAGGGGCAGGCTCTTAGATCATCCTGCCCACCTCCACTGCCCCCACCTCCGGGCCTGGGAAAAGACAGGAGCCCAGGCCTGAGCGGCTCTCCACAGGCCCAGCCCCCGCGAGCCACTCACTGTCAGTCCTCCACACCCATCTCCCCTGCAGCCTGGGTGAGTACCAGCCCACTGCCGTCCACCTACTCACCCTGACGGACTTCCTGCTAGTGGCTGAGCTGGGGCGGGTATTGCTGTTTAGCTGGGAGGAACTGGAGCTGTATTCCTCCTCATCCTCCTCTTCCTCCTCAAAGCTCATGCTACTGGAGATGCCTGGGCAGGAAGGAGCAGGATGCGAGGCATGGTCACACACACACACACACACACACACTCACACACACACCCAGGCAGGAGCAGGATGGGAGGCGTGGTCACACACACACACACACACACACTCACACACACACCCAGGCAGGAGCAGGATGGGAGGCGTGGTCACACACACACACACACACACACACACTCACACACACACCCAGGCAGGAGCAGGATGGGAGGCGTGGTGTCTCACACACACACACACACACACACACACACACCCAGGCAGGAGCAGGATGGGAGGCGTGGTCACACACACACACACACACACACTCACACACACACCCAGGCAGGAGCAGGATGGGAGGCGTGGTCACACACACACACACACACACACACTCACACACACACCCAGGCAGGAGCAGGATGGGAGGTGTGGTCACACACACACACACACACACACACACTCACACACACCCAGGCAGGAGCAGGATAGGAGGCATGGTCACTCACACACACACACACACACAGGCATGAGCAGGGCAGGAAGCACGGTCACACACACACCCAGACGCCTGTTCACAGGTACCGCATCACCCCAGGCCTTAGGTGCACACACACATTCACACAATGCCCAATGATGTCCCGAGGTACACAAGGGCACACTCTCAGGTACACGCTGGGACTGGTCACGGTTGTTGGGGTCTGTGCCCCCCACTCCAAGCTTCAGGTCAGTCCCCCTGACCCCTCCTCTCCGGCACCCGCAATGCCTGCCTCCTGTGTGGCAAGGCCTGGCGGGCGGACCCTGTGCTGGGAGCCTCTCTGGCCCCAGGCTTCCCAGCGTGTACAGGGCAGGGCTGACTCCTCCCCTCCCAGCCTGGGAGGTCCTGCCTGTGTGCCTCTCCCCACTCAGCGCCCTCCCTCTCCAGCCTCCTTCTGATTCCATGAAATGGGGCACTGCTCGGCTTCCCTCAGCCCCCCACCCCCGCCCCCCGCCAACCAGGGGCTCCCCGGGGGCAGGTTCCTGGGACCTGCCTGCCTCTCAGCACGCCGGCCCTGCCCTAGCTCAGCGGACGGGGAACATGTTACAGAAGCATCTTTCAAAGGAACCGAGGGGAGCGGGAACCTTCCCCAAAGCGAGGGCCTCCCTGGGGGCAGCTGGGAGGAGTGGGGGGGACACGGCTGGGCTGTGGGGTGGCTGGTTACCCGGGTTCATGCTTCTTTCCCTGAACGTGGCCTCGTCGGGGGCCCTGCCCACGGTTCCCATCGGTCTCCTGTGCCTCGCACGGGGTTTGGGAACCTGGGGCTGAGCTCTGGGGGTGTCCCTGGGCCCCCACGGGGCTCACCCTTCCTCTGCATCGTGGCACGGAGGTCCTGCCCGCTGGGCGCCGTGCCCGCGCCGGCTGCCGTCGCCCCTGCGCCCTGGGCGGGGTCCAGCCGGCCCACGGTCAGGATCTGCACCGGGCCTCGCGCCTCAGCCTCGTCTTCGGCCAGAGCGGCTGGCCCGCCGGTGCCTGCAGGCCAGGACACTGCTGAGTCCCGGGGGCGGGGGGGTGAGGGGGGCGGAGAGCTGGACCCACAGGCGTCCGTGAAGTGGGCGAGGGCCGAGGGGGGGGCCCTCTGCAGAACTCTGCTTGCAGAACTGAATTTTAAAAAAACTAACGATTGCCGAGACCGGTTTGGCTCAATGGATAGAGCGTCGGCTTGGGGACTGAAGGGACCCGGGTTCGATTCCGGTCAAGGGCGTGTACCTTGGTTGCGGGCATGTCCCCAGTAGGGGGTGTGCAGGAGGCAGCTGATCGATGACTCTCTCTCATCGATGTTTCTAGCTCTCTATCTCTCTCCCTTCTTCTCTGTACAAAATCAATAAAAATATATTTAAAAACAAACAAACAAAAAAAACTAACGATTGCTATCGGCCTCCTAATGATCTGGTAAGCTCTGAAGGGACACGGGTTCTGTCACTTCCGCTGTCAAAACTGGTTTGAAACGCCTCACATCCCTAGGCAGACGGCAGCCACCGCCGACAAAGCCAGCTCACAGCGAGAAAGACTGGGCGGAGAACAAGGTCCATCCACACCACACGAGGCCCCCACGCGCTCACGGACGTGGCCAGCTACGAGCCACCAGACACACAGTCAGCTCACACGTCAGCTAAAGCACACGGGCCCTTCGAAACGGCCGAGGCTGGCACACACGCCGCCCCACACGGAGGCTCTCCCATCCAGGTCCCCTTCCTCCCCTGCCACAGCACCGCTGCCCGAAGCGAGGCCTGGCCTCACGGAGGCAGCCGCCCGCCGGGCGGGCTGTGTCCAAAAGCCTGCGGCCCTGGCCCCCACCGTCCCACCAGGACCAGAGGCCTGGCCACCGCCGGGCACACCCGTGGTTGGGGAGACGAGGTGTCAGCCCACAGAAACCGGCCTCGGGGAGGGGGCCGGCGTACCTATGGGGGGTGGGGGGGCCTTTTGGAGAGGAGCAGGGGGACTGTCTGTGGCCTGAGGGTGGGGCTGAGACGGGGAGTGTGGAGGCCCAGGGTGACTGGCTCGGATGGGGGCAGAGGGCTCCCCGGCTGGGCGGGGGAGGGGCTTCGTGGGCCGTAGCTGAGCTGGACGTCCCCCCAGCAGTATGGAGGGCCTGCCTCACCCGCAGGCAGCCCAGGTGCCCTGTGAGCTAGATGGGGCCTGTGAGCCAGCTGGGCGGGGCCCTGAGTGCTATTCGGTGCCCCCACCCCCTGGGGCCTCCCCCCTGTCCGACCCTCCAGTGCGGGGTCAGGGGGCAAGCCGACCTTTGTGCTTCCCCTTCTTCCCCTTCTTCGAGGCGGCTGCGGCCTTGGTTCTCTTGGCTGAGGCTGGTGCTGTTGGGCGGGCAGCTCCCAACTGCACAATGGCAAGTGGGTCGGCCTCGTGAACTGCGGAGGAGCGGGCCGGAGACAGAGAGAGAGGGAGACACAGAGGGAGAAGGAGAGACAGAGGGAGAGGGAGAGAGAGAGAGAGACAGACAGAGAGAGAGACAGACAGACAGACAGACAGACAGACACAAGCCCTGGGTGAGACCAGAGCTCCGACTCACACACTTCCCAGCACGTCCTCCACCCTCCCCAACCCAGCAGGCCTCTGCACCACCCGTCCCTACAGGCACAGGTGCCCGGGCAGGGAGGTGGCACTGCAGCCTGCCCACACCATGACCAACCAAGCAGCGTTCACAGCTCCGGGCCAGCCAGCTGTTGGAGCTGGGGCAGGGGAGGGGAGGGAACGTGTCTGGGATACGTGGGTGAACCCAGAAAAGGCTGCATCTCTTGGAAGAGACCACACCTGGGGCCACGCTCCAGGGCCCTTGCTGCCCTGAGGGGACGAGGCCGAGGTGGCCCGGGGTGCGGAGCGCCCTGCGGCAGGAGAGACGTCCCGGACGCCCCGAGCAGCACGGAGGCCTCGGAAGGGTCCCACGGGAGGCCTCAGGTTCTCCACACAGAACCCTAGCTGCTCCAAGTCCCAGAACCGCTTCTCACTGCTCCTAAGATGAAGACCATCATTCTCCTGCGAGTCTGGTCCTCCCTCGCCTTGGCCTTGGCCTTGGCCTTGGCCGGACCGTACACGCCTCACTTCCCAGGCCCAAGTCCCAGCCACACGGTGCTCTGTGCACCCTGGACTCCCTCCGGCCACAGGGGCCTCCTCTCGCTGTCCCACTGCCTCCAGATGTGTGCCCCCACCCCCACCCCTATCCGCTAACCCCCACTCCTGCAGACTCCAGCTCCTCGGGGGCCTCCCCTGGGAGCAGGGGTCTGCGGCTCACACACACAGCTCCCCACAGCACCCCTGTGACCACCCGCTTAGCTCTCTCCCTCTCAGGCCATCGGGCCCACGAGGGAACGGTGGCCACACCCGCTGTGCTCACCCGGACTGCCAGCTCTAACCTGGAAGCTGACACAGAGTAGGCCCTCAGAATAAACACTTAGGAACCGATGAACAGACCACAGTTCTGGGGACAGAGTTCCTGGGCATGGTGAAGCTGCAAGAGACCTGGGATCTGAAAGCAGGCCCCAGCTCTCACTTCGGTGAAACTCCCCTTGTATTTAACCCCAAGAGCCAGCAGGGGGCAGAGCAGGAGAAAGCTGGTGCTCCAGGGAACACCAACCCCAGGCCAGCCAGCGGCAAGGGCCGTGTCCTCCTGGAGACAAGCCCAGAAGGTCAGCGACTTGCTCAGTCACAGGTGGGCAGGGAGCGGCGTGACCAGGAACTGCCTTCTCAGTCTGGCCCCTCCTGCAGGCCTGGCACACGTTCCGTGCTCAAGAGGCGCCTGCCAACATGACTGCGCCTCGGTGACTTCTCAGACTCTCTCGGAGCCCCAGGTGTTGGCCTGCGGCCCAAACTGGCAGGGCCTGGAGTCCCAGGAGCAGGCTCCCGTCCCAGGTGCCGGGCCTGGCAGAGCTGGGGCTGGGATGCCCACCGCAGCAGGTGTCTTCCCTGCAGGGCACCGCGGCCCCTGGGAACAGTGCTCAGGGAGGAAGTGCGAGGAGGGGGCGGCCCGGAAAGGGTGGGGCTGGCCAGGTCTGCGTGGAGCAGCCGGAGCTGGCTGTCGAGGCAGCAGGTGGCTGAGGTCCCTGTCCCGCCCTGTGCAGGGCCTCGTCGGCGGAGCGGGCCATACCAGCTGAGCAGAAGCCCGCGCAGGGCAATCGCGGCCAGGCCTCCCTGTCAGGAGGTGGCACACACGGCGGCAAGGCCGTTCGGAGTCTGACAGGCCTGGGCGCACCGCCTCGTCCCGGTGCTCAGAGCAACGTGCCACAGGCAAGCCGGTGACCCCCTGGGAGTCCAAATGCTCACGGACCTCGTGGGGATGAAGAGCTGCTGTGCAGAATAAACGAGGGAACGCAGGCAGAGCACCCAGCGCCATGCTTAGCCACCAGCAAGTGCCTTGATTATCAAGCAGGAGCGGGTTCCCTCAGCGGGACGAGGGCACACAGAGGGCACGGAGCTTGTCCGGTGCCAAGCTGTGCCAAGACTGGGCACTAGGTGCTGCCCTCCAAGGCACAGAGAAGGGGACCCACTGTGCTCAGAACCTGACACACTGTGTGCCGGGCTGTGGAGAGGGCCCAGCAGCCAGAGGAGAAAGGTCAGCCCTGAGCTGGGGCAACTACAGGAGCTCCAGGGGGCTGGCGCTGCGGGACCCGAGGAAGCTGCAGAGGAGGGGGGCGCCACGGTGGCCTGCAAAAGCCAGACGTCGCCTTTCAGAGCCACCCTCTGACAGAGGAGGCACTGGGACTGCCTGCACCAGCAGGGGGCAGTGGCGCTGCACCTGAGTCCTCCTTAGTGATCAGAGAGACCAAGCCTCTGCTCAGCCTGGGGCACCTTCCCCTGGCCTACAGGTGGGTCCTGAGCTCAGGGAGGCAGTGGAGCCCCCCTCGCCCACCCCAGGATGAGCTCTGCTGACAAGCAGAGAGCAGGGATGGGAGAGCCGAGGCTGCTGGTCGCCAGGGCCTGTGCGAGGACCCGCAGGTCAGAAGCCGGGGTGACGGAGGCGTGGGGGCCCAGGGAGGGGAGGCAATAGGTGTCCGTCCCGCAGGAGGCACTGGCTGGTGCGGGTTGTTGAGGTGGTTCCCTCCAGGAGGCAGAACACCAGTGGGGAGCAGACCTTCTGCTCCTCGGAACCGCCTCCCGCTCTCGGTGAAAGTCTCCTGATCAGAAGCCTGGACACTTGAACTCCCAGATCAACCAAGTTTTAGCTCCTGGCTCCAGCACCTGAGCCGGGAGCCCAAGGCTCCAGGCCCCAGCCTCCCTCCACCGGCTCCACCCAGCTGTGGGCTCGGGCTGGGAGCCCCGCTCAGCCTGGAGGCACCCTGACGGAGGACAGAAGTCGCTGCGGGGTGTGGGGCCTCCCCGGGCTGTCTGTCCGTCCCAAGGGCGGGGCGTACCTTGGTAGCTGGTGCTGCCACTGCTGCTGAGGTAGGACTCCACCAGGGGGGCCTGCTCCTCCGACTGCCGGGCCCGCCGGCTCCGAGGCCGCCCGTCGGCATTGGCCTGCACCATCAGCGGCTCCTGGCGCTTCTTCTTCTGCTTCTGCTCCAGCAGGGCCCGCTGCAGAGGCACGGACAGGCGCGGGGTCACCGGGCTGGACGGGGCAGCCCTCCGCCTCCACCCGAGGGGGGCGCCCCGCCTGGGGGCAGAGGGAAGGAAGGCCCTGCTTGCCCGGCTCGCCTCTAGGGACTGCAACGGGGGCCAAAGCCCGCTCTGGGCCAGGGCCTCCTGACCGTGGTGCCTCAGGACTCGGGGTCCAGGACAAGGGGGCAAAACTCAGCCCAGGAAGCTGTCCTGGCAGGACCACGGCCCCCCAGTGGCCTGCGTGGCAGAAGGCCCGGGTCCGTACGGGTCCGTGCACTGGTCCGTGCTAATGCTGAGCTGGTAAAGGAGGGAGCTGCTCCGGGGGGAAGAGGGGGAGAGGGACTCTCCCCGCCAGTGAGGACCACCCAGGAGGGGGCGGCCAGGACGGTGAGCGCCCACCCTCCCGCCTGGCCCCAGGCTCACTCACCTGCCGGTCGAGTTTCTGCTGTCGCAGGTTGCTGCCCTCATCATCTAAGACACTGCGGAGGGAGAGAGGGGCGTTCAGGGCCTGCCCCCGAGGTGCCAGGGTTCGACCCAGAGCCCCCCCCCGCCCAGCATATCTGGGTCCTTTAAACCCCCTCCCCCGCCATCACTGCGGAGGGGAAGGGGGAGGCTACTATCGGGGAGCCAGCTGGAGGGAAAGGGCCTGCGCTATAGGCCTGTGCTCGGGGCGCAGGGCTCCTGTGGGATCCTCGGCCCGGCAGCCACGGGAGGCTTCTCCCCTGGGCCCATGAGCAGGGCTGACTGCGTTCCAAGGGGCCTGTCCAGAGGCATCGGGCACAGGCCAGGCCCAAGCCCAGGCTTCGGACCAGGGACCTGCCCACTCAGGCCGCCTCAGATGTCACCACCCCTTCGCCTGCCTCTGGGTCCTTCCGGGGAAAGCTGGGCCCTTGGGGCAGACCCTCTTCCCATCTGTTCAAAGGGAGAGAGCGGCCACGTGACCACCCAGTCCCGCAGGGCAGGGCTGGGGCTGGGTGGGCACAGCAACACACGACCCAGCGACCAGCCACTGGCCCTTCCCTGGCCGTGGGCGTGGCCCAGGCAGCACCAGGGCATCGAACCCTTAGGTGTCTCGCAGACTGACCCTGCCTCCCAGGAAGGCAGAGCACAGCAGGGAGCTGGCAATTCAAGCCACTTAATTTTCTTTCTAGCCCAAGGCACATAATACAGGGGACCTCCGCCCCCGATTCTGTAAGAACCAAGGTCGGGCCAGCTGCGCGGGGTGGGGCTGGAGCCTGAGGGGCTGAGCTCTGGGAACCCCAGTGACACGAGGTGTGCGTGTGTGAGGCTGTGAGCATGTCCCGCGCGTGTGCACACACCGGGAGGCGTCAGATGTGCGAGTGCATCCGCCTGTGTAAGAGGCGGGTGTGCCTGTGTGGGGGTGGGTGCAGTGTGCGTGGACGGGGGAAAGATGAGGCCCCACCACCCCAAAGACAAGGGAAGCCATTGCCACGCCTCCTGACAGCAGCAGCAGCAGCCCTTGTGGCTGGAATATTCATTCACCCGAACTGTCCCTTCCGCTCATCCAAACTGTGTGTGTCTCTGCGGGCTGGGGAGGCAGCCAGAGAGCGGCAGGAAGTCCGTGGCCACAGCCAGCCCGCCCCCCACCCCCCTGGCCACACTGACGAGGGCTCTGCATACCTTAAAGCACATGTGTCAAACACAAGGCCCGCGGGCCAAATCCGACCCGCCAGGCCTTGCAATGTGGCCCGCACCGCGCTGTCATCACTGCACTCCGCTGCGTTTCCATCACAATGACAGTTTATGACTGTTCAGTAAACCATTCGGCCCGCGATTTAGGCTGGATTTTAGATTTTGGCCCCTTCTCTGATTGAGTTCGACACCCCTACCTTAAAGCGACGGCGTCCTACCCACTAGCCAATGGGAAGGCTTTCCTGACACGCACAGCGGCCCTGCACTCGGCGGAGCCCCGGCTGTGACCTGAGCACAGACCAGCCTTATCGCCGAGACCTCAGCTGCCACGGCCCAGGAGAAAACCCGACAGACGCGCCTCTACGTCAGACCTGTCTCCCTCCAACTGCCCACCTGCCTCACACACACAGCTGCCGCCGAGCGCACTGCCAGGACCAGAGGCCGGGAACCAGCTCCTAAACGCCAGCAGGAGCGCACACAGAAGGCACACACCAAGAAGGGCCGGTCCAAACGCTACTGTCCCCGTGTCCGCCGTGGGCGCCAATGCCAGGGTGACTGCAGGCTGGGTGTGCATGGCACCCGGCTGACAGGAGCACCGGGCCTGACATCCATCCGGGCTCCGCTTGCCAAGCTCTGCCCGGGGCACGCCCCGGGCAGCCCGCCATCCCGGCCCTGTGCTGGTGGCCACAGGCGCCCGGCCGCCCGCACACAGCGCGGGCTCTTCCTGCGGCCGGAGTGCCCTGGCTTCCTGGGATGGCACCAGCCACCTGCCCTTTCACAGGGCAGGGCCGGGGCGTTCCCCTGGGACACTCCGGGCACTGGGTGTGGCTGAGCAGGAAGGAGATGGCTTCCATGCATGCGTCATTCAGAAAAGGTGACATCCAGCTGAGAGGGAAGCTCACATGAGCAAAGCCACCTCCGGAACTGCTGGGTCACGGGCCCGCCGGCTGGCAAAAGGTGGTTCCAGCCCTTGTGCCCTCCCTGCCCAGGGCCCCCGTGGTGTCCTTATCTGTGCATGGAGTCAGGGGAGAGGGGTTCCTACCACAGGTCACGGCCCCGCTGCTGTGGACTTCCCACACGTTACACCGGGGAGGGAGGCTGCTTCCCATGGAAACACTCCTCCTCCTCCTCCTCCTCCTCTCCGCCCGATCCCTGACAGCCCCCAGGTCAGGGTACAGACAGAACAGACTTAGCCGCCGACCTTCCTTCGGAGAAAAATGGATGCATCCGAGCGCTCGGCTTGTAGAGAATTCCAGAAGCTCAGATGTCCTGGAAGTGCCCGAGAGCCGCCCGCCCGCCCGCCCGCCCGCCCGCCACCTCACTTCCCACCGGGCGGTGAGGCAGCGGGAGGAGGGCGCGCAGGGTGGGCGGCATGTGCTGGAACAGTGGTCGGCAAACTCCTTAGTCCACAGAGCCAAATGTCAACAGGACAATGATTGAGATTTCTTTTGAGAGCCAACTTTCTTAAACGTAAACTTCTTCTATTGCCACTTCTTCAGAATAGGCTCGCCCAGGCCGTGGTGGTATTTTGTGGAAGAGCCACCACACTCCAGGGGCCAAAGAGCCGCCTGTGGCCAGAGAGCCTCGGTTTGCCGACCACGGTGCTGGAGGGTAAGAGTGCGGCTGGCTGAGCGAGACCTCCCAGGCGGACAGACGACACCCGCACGGGGCCCGGGAGGGGCCCGCGGGGGAGGGAAGCGGGGTGGGCCCTGGGCGGCAGCGGGGATCCCAGGAGGCTGCGGAGTCGCCCGCAGGCACAGGCTCCGCCTGGCCCCCGTGTGTCTGGAGCGCACACCTGTCCCTGGTGCACAGCGGCGTGTTGTTGGGAACAATGACAACTGTGCTGTCTGCGGGGAGAGCGGAACCCAAGCAGCAGTCACCTCCTCCTCCGCAGCCCAGCCTCCTCCTCCCCACCCCCCCCCCCACACACACTCACACACACACACACACACACACACACACACACACGCACACACACACGCAAGGCCCTGCCTGCTCATCGCCCACGGCAGCACCTCCTGGGCACCTTCCTCTCCCACCATCCCGCCAGCCCCCCTCTCCGACAGGCGCACAGAGCGATAACCGTGAGAGGAGGCAGTAATGGCTCTTTAATGACTCAGGCTCCAATTATGGAATCACTGCCAAGCCCAGGCTGCCAGCTGCAGCCCCGCCAGGAGACTCCGCCGGGAGGCGGGGCCCCTGTGGATGGTCTCCCAGCTGACCCTGGGGCTCCCTCATCCCGGTCTCCTCCTGCTGGGGCCAGGCCAGGGAGCCCAGGAAAGCACCGGCCGCTGAGGTGGCCCGTTCACCGCCCAGGGAGACAGCCGGCCTCGGTGCATCCCCCTGCTGGCCCTGAGGTCAGACAGATCTCTGAGGAGTGAACCAGGCTGGACCCACAGCAAGCGCGGGGGCACTGCTCCCGTGGGCTGGAGAAGCCAGACAGGCCAACGTAGTCGGGAAGCGGTTCCGCCCCTGCTCAGACCCACCCCACCAGCTCCAGCTAATCCACGCGAGCTGCCGGGGGCCTGGGGGCCAGGCCACCCCAGGGACAGACCCACTCTCCATGCCCACTTCACACACACACACACACACACACACCTTCCTGTCCTCCTCCTTCCCCCGAAGGCACAGGGGACCGGGAAAAAGGGAAGTGGGCTGTCAGGGAAGAAAAGACCACCCAGGAGCCTGGCTACCACCCCTGTGCCCAACGCTGGACGCCCTCCCAGCCCCCAGCACATCCCGACGCCAGTCAGTGCCCAGGGCAGCGACGTGCAGCCCTTTTCATCTCACGGCACACATAAGCTAATTACTAGAATTCTGAGACACGCCAAAAAATACTTTTTTATTTTTTGCCAATTTAACAAAGGAGGTAGGCATAATTTTCATTCATTCACACCGGATGGCTATTGTGCTGACAATCTAAGGCAGGGGTGGGGAACCTCTTAATGCCGAGGGCCATTTGGATATTTATAATATCGTTCGAGGGCCATGCACAATTATCAACTTAAAAATTAGCCCATATATATATATATATATATATATATATTCAAACACTGAATTAACTCACCCCATTAGCCTTGGCAGGGCCAGACTGGATGATTTTCACAGGCCTCAGGCCAGACATTCCCCACCCCTGATCTAAGGGAAAAGAGGTCAGTGCCTCTGACTAAAGAGTCAGGTACTGCCTGTTTTAAAAATTCCTGTGGCACACCGACTGGAAACCACTGGCCCAGGCTAGGGCTGCTTGGAACATTGTGCGAACAGTGGGGATGGGAACGCGGGGATGGGAGTGGGAGGGGGGCAGTTCGAGACGGGAGAGAACCATGTTGCTCAGGAGCCTGCCAGCCTCCAGCCACGAGGCGCCTCCATTCCAGCCCCTGGCGCCCTGACGTACCAGGTGTGTGAAAACTGCTAGTGCAGCCAAAACCGGTTTGGCTCAGTGGATAGAGCGGCAGCCTGCAGACTGAAAGGTCCCAGGTTCGATTCCGGTCAAGGGCACGTACCTTGGTTGGGGGCACATCCCCAGTGGGGGTGTGTGCAGGAGGCAGCTGATGGATGATTCTCATCAATGTTTCTAACTATCCCTCTCTCTTCCTCTCTGTAAAAAATCAATAAAATGTGTGTGTGTGTGTGTATATATATATATATATATATATATATATTTTTTTTTTTTTTTTTTTTTTAAACTGCTGGTGCCTCAGCCCTGACTGGGTAACTCGGAACTGCTGGGGAAGCCGCCCAGGCTCAATACCCACCGCCCTCTCTCTTGTAAAGCAAGTCTCCCAGGTGGCTCCAATGCCCGGCAGGCAAAAGAGGACCATCGGGAAGGAACAAGGACGTGGGGAGCTGCCGTGAGGCCGGAAGCGTGCGAATGCAGCCTCATGCTCGGCCATGTAAGAAGCTGTAGTCTGCAGATCAGCCGGCCACAGGGGAGACTGTGGAAGGGACTGACCAGCTGGATGGCGGTGTGAGCAGCAGAAGACAAGTGATCGCTAGGGGTAAAGCCCAAGTTCCCGGCAAGTTAGGGTGCAGGTCCCCGGGCCTGACTGGGCAAACGGGAAGACAGAGCAGCCAGGTGCCCACGTTGAATCGCAGGGACCAGCAACAGATGATAACGTGTGGGCGAGAAGAGGCGATGCGAGCAAGCGCCCGCTAGTCCAATTCGACAGACGTTCAGGTTTCTGGGTCATGCCAGAGTCAGGGGAGGTCTCCAGCATCCTGCTTCTCTTGGTGATTAGCCCGTTAACCAATGACCTGGCGACAACACAGGCCTCACAGGTGAAACAGGAGGTAGAGGTCCTAACCTGCTCACCAAGACAGTAGGAATTCAGAAGACTCCGAAAAGCTAGCAAAGAGAAAGACAAGCAGTCACCTGACAGGTCAAGTCACCTATCTGGGTGCCAGCACCCAGGTCTTGCCCACTCAGGCAGCACGGGGCTTGACTTTGGGGGAGTCAGCTGGGGAAAGACTTTGGGGTTCTGTTTACAGAGGCCTCGAGGCGACTGGTCAGGGAGTCAAGGCCATCCCATGGGGCAAGGAGGGCTCAAAGGCTGCCACAGAAGCAGGGGTCCGGAGGGAGGAATTAATGGCCTCCCTCTGCCCGTGCTGACGGCCACACCGGGAGCCGCCTGCGGCTGCAGGACCCACACTGGAGGAGGGCAGAGACCAGGCTGAGGGCCCTCGGTCAGCTCCATCCGCCTGTGTTTCCTCTGCTCCTTCCACCCCAGGAGCAGCAGGAAGGCACCCGCCTGGGCCGGAGGAAGGAGTGGAGAGAGCATCGCCTGGACCGAGGAGCACGGGTGCTGCTCCTCCGCCTCACCAGGGGAGGCCGTGGGCCATGGCGTCTGGGACCGGGGCTCCGCCAGAGGCAGAAGCGCAAGAGCCAGGAGTCACCCCGCTCCCTGGAAAGCAGAGTGAGGAAGGGGTGGGGGAGCCTAACGAGGGCGCGTGGAGGGGAACCAGAGTCGCCAGTCAGTTCACCCCCAGGAAGGCCTTTCCGAGGGTCACAGCCGGCTTCTGGCGGGGGGCGTCCCTGGGGGTCCCCGGGGAGCACCCACACAGGACTCCGTGGCCTGGAAGGACCCTGAGAGACTCCAGGGAGCCCCACGGTGGAGGGTGAGTACTGTGTCCTTGGGTGAGCAGAGAACGTCCTAAAAGCTACCTGGGGAGCCCCTTTGATTCAAAGTCATGGGCATCTTGTCTGTGCCGGGTCACGCCAGGCACACAGCCAAGCACCAGCTGAGGTCCCTGCTCTCCAGGAGTTCACGGCCTGAAGAGAGGAACACAGCCACGCGCAGCACTGAGGACCTGAGGACAGGCTGTCTCACTCACAGGCTCTCTCTCTCACACACACACACACACACACACACACACACACACATACACCCCCCAGTCCTTCCTGACTCTCACCTACAGCTCACAGAAGGCCGTGAATTAGGGGCATTTAACACTCCTCAAGAACAGAGGCGAAGACTTCACCAACGAAAAGGCTTCCTTCTCAGTCAGACTGTGAGATTAATTCATGAGCAGCATCAGCGGAGCCACCTTTGCTCTTAAGAAGATGGCCAGCGATTATCACGGCTTCAGAGAAGCTGAGCCAGGCCAGGGGGCGCAGGTGCGACCGTCGCCAGCAGACTTAACAAGAAATCAATCGACCTCTCGGCCCCAAACCCGGCGACACATTCCAGCTGACACGCTGCCACGTTAGGCAAACCTCACGCCAAAGCACAAGCACACGCGCCCATCCCCCGCACCTGCAGGTAAACAGCCGGGCCTGCCTTCTGCCCCCGTTTCTCTGTGATCACACAGGCCCGGGGCTGTGGCTGCCGTCAGCAGCCCATTAATGCAGGAGGCAAGCTGCATCTCCTCCTCTCAGCCCAGGTCTCCGCTCCGGAAGCCTGCACCCCAAGGCAAATGCTTTCTCAGGCTCAGAGCACGCTCAAAAAGACCCCAGTGGGACAGAAGAGATTCTGGAAACTTCTAAGTATGGCCTGCCCCCAGTTCTACACCTACCCTCCCCGTTGCAGAGCAGAAAGGCGGGGGTGACAGAGCAATGGGACAGCAAGCAGGGCGAGGCCACATTGGGTGTCCAGTTGTTCCTCAGGGCTAGGTTCCCAGGGGGACAGGCCTCTGTACTCCAGGTGGAGTGTGGGGCCAAGAAAGGAACGGGGGCAGGGGTTGGGCCTGGGCTTGGCAAGTGTCACATCACTCCTTGCGTGACGCCAGTGCTCTGGGAACGTGCTGATGAGCAGAGTCCTTCCCAGAGACAGCCCCACACTCCTAGGTCCCACTTTTCCAGAGGCAGGCTCTTTCTAAGACCCGAGAAACCACTCGCTTTGGTCCTTGGCTCCTGGGAGGGCTTCCTTACACCTTGAGCAGCCTGGTCCCCAGTTTACCAGACGCTAAACACATCACCACATCCACAGCCACGACTGCTGCCCCTTCCCTCCCTCCTAAGTGTCTGTGGCCAACACCCCGCCACGTCCACCCCATACAGGCACGTCCACAACACCAGCGGCCACTCGGCCCACAGGAACTGCCCAGGCACCTCTGTGGGGTGGCCAGAAAAGGTTAACGGTATTTTGTGGGGCTGCACTGTCTTCTGAAAGGTCAGCCCATAGGTGTCAAGACAGCCGGGATGCTCCAGGAACTATCTGCCCCTGGCCTAGACGCCTGGTACGCAGCAGCCATTCTTTTGAGACAGCCCAGCCCCAGTGCCCTGAGAGGACTATCTCCCTGGTCCAGGTGAGACTCTGAGGTGTGATTCCATGTGTCTGCAGGAAGCCCTATGGGTGACTTGTGTGTTGGTGAGAGGGGCAACCACAAATTCTAACCTGGAAAGCCATGAAGCCCCCAAAGGAGTCGAGATTAGAGACAACAGCAAGTTCTCAAAAGCAACCCTGAATCCCCAAGCCAGGGGCAGGTGCTTGTTTGCAGAAGGATCTGCTTTCACAAAGCCCCAGGCGGTTTCTGCTGTCTCCATGTTGCATGCTGTCTGGACAGACTCACGGGAGAGCTCTGTCAGAGGTACAGTCTGTCGGTGACTGGAATCAGGTCCCTTCCTGAGCGCAGGCTGTGTTACCGGGCGGACCGGGAAGGCCTGTTTCTACCTCCCACGGGCATGTGCACCTGCGTGGGCAAGAACAGAGTGGACCCTCGCAGTCTGGGACCCTTTTTACACACATGCCTCTCGGGGGAGGCCTACAGGCAGGCCTGTAGCCCATGGCAACCGAGGAGCCAATGGGTGGCCAAGGATCTGGCGCTGCCATGGCAATGAGCTGCTTGACAGTGGTCATGGAGAGAACTGGGTAGAGTGGATGGGGGAGAAGCCCCGGAGACCTCAACATAGGTGGGGAAGTGCTTATCTGAGTGTGCCTGGACTCTGAGTGCTTTTGTGCAGGTTAAGGCAGCTCTGTGTATTGTGAGTTGGTGTGTGTCCAGGAATAGACCTGTTAGCAAGGGGACTGGTGAGGCTCTGAAAGATGAGTAGTGCTTGTGAATGAGTGGTAAGTATCAGGTACTCTCCAAGTACAGCATATGTACGTGCACAGATGTGTAGCCCGGCACGTGTGTGTGTGTGTGTGTGTGTGTGTGTGTGTGTGGAGAGCTGCATGGTGCATGCGTATAGGAGCCGCCTGGGCTCTCGGTTCAGAATAACTGTCTCCAGGAATTCTCGCCCTGAGAGTGTGAATGGACCAGCGGGAGTGGCTGTAACACAGCGGACGCCCCGCGGGGCCGGCCTGCCCGCCGGAGGGGAGCGCGCCGGGCTGTGCCTGTGCCGGCGAGGGAGCCGCACGGGGGCCCAGGAGGGGCTCCCAGCCGCGCGCGCTCCTCCCCGGGCGGCACCGGACCAGAAAGGCCCACCAGGCCCGGGGCACTGGCCCCTTCCAGCAGCCCCGGAGGATAAGGGGCGGAGCGAGACAGGCGGGTTCAGTTCGCCGCCGGTAGGGGGGAGGCCCCCCAAAGTTGGGGTGGGAAGGTCCAGCTCCTCCAACCCGCGCTCCACGTTCTGGGCTCGATGGGGAGGGGGCCCCGCGCCCCGCGCCCCGCGCGGCGACCCCAGCCAGCCTCGGCCCGGCGCCCTCCACCCTGCCCGGCGCCTCCGGGGTGGAGGGCGGTGGGCCGCACCCCCCGAGTGAGAAAGAAAAGAGGGGTCTGGCGCCCCGTACCTGTAGGGAATCCAGTCGGAATGCGGCTTGGAAGTCATGTCTGTCGGGGGCGGGGCGGCGGCGGCGGCTCCGGAGGCCCGGGCCCCAGAGGGTCGGCGCGGGGGCCCAGCTCAGCTCCCCGGCCGCCCCGGGCCGCATCCTCCCGGGCCGGGGCGCTGGGCCCCGCCAAGGCCCGCGCCGCTCGCCAGGGCCCCTGCCGCGGGCTCCGAGCGGCGGCGGCGGGCGCGGCGGGGGAGGCAGCCCGGAGCCCGGAGCGCGGAGCGCGGGGCGGCCCGGAGGCGGGCGGGCGGCGTGCGCCCGGGGACGTGGAGAGGCGGGCGGCTCCGGCCCCGCGCCTCCGCAAGGGCTCCCGGCGCCGAAGGTCCGAGCTCCGCTGGGCGGCGGCGCCTCCCCTCCCGTCCCCTCCTCGCTCGCCCCGCCCCGCCCGGCGGAGACCCCACCCCCGGGCCGGCCCGCGCGGCCTCAATGTCCCGGCCCCCTTCCCGGGGCCGCGCGCCCGGGCTCCACGCCCGCGCACGTGACCGCACCGGGCCCGCGCCCACCCGCCAGGCGGGTCCCCCGTCCTCGGGGCTCAGTCCTTCCTCTGTGAGGCCGGGATAACCTGACACCTCCCTCCCTCCCTCCTGTCTCCAAGGAGGATGGGGAACTGCAGCCCGGATGGGGGTGGGGGGTCCGGCTGTGCAAGTCGGGATGATGGCAGCAGACACCAAGATGTCTCTGGGACCCTGCAGGTCCTAAACTTGGAGGCTGGCCTTCTCCCTCCCAGTGGCTTCATCCCCCACACCCAACCCCCACTCGAGTTCTCACTCCCCCCACCCCACCCCCCCCATGGCTTCTTTCTTCGGTTTTAGAAAAGGAGGTGTTTTCCTCGGCTGCAGAGCAGTCCTTCCTGTCTAAGCAACACAGTCAGGGGAAGGATACCGTGCATTCCGGCCCTTTAAAGTTCTACTATTTAATCTCCACAGTAGCCTTGAGCAGCAAGTGCTTCTAATTCCCAGAAAAGAAAGCCTCAAGAATGCCATCCCGCCCAAGGACTTGAAGCTAGGGGGTGAAGGAGCTGACATGCAGCCAGGGTCTCTGTCCTCCAGGGCCCTTTTTAAGGGCCTCACTTACAAGGAGCAAAAAACCTCCCAGTGAAGATAATCGCACAGTCTCCGAGGGCTGAGGAGGTCCTGGCTGTGTGATTAGCGCCGACTTTACAGTGAGGTGTGGCCTGTTGAGGTGGAGTGGAGGGCAAAGAGCCCACAGCGGCCGAGCAGTGTCCGAGCGGGACCCTCCGGAGCTAACCAGGCTGCCCTGACCGTGTGACCGGTGGGAGAGAGAGTGAGAACTGCCAGCTTGGCTGGGGGGGGGGGGCCGGCCTTCTGCCTGAGTTCACAGCCAGGCCTCTCCGCCCAGAACTCCCCCAGCCGTTCAGCCCTGCCTTGCCTCTATGAAAACAGTAACCAGGATACTGGGAGAGTGTGCTGAGCATCAGGAGCTGTGCTGGGTGTATGTATATACTGTACCAGGGGTCCTCAAACTTTTTAAAGTGGGGGCCAGATCACGGTCCCTCAGAGAGCTGGAGGGCCGGACTATATGAACTACTAATTCCTACTGTAACACCTCGGCTGCGCTCACTGCCCAAAAAACCTGGCGGGCCGGATCAGACTCCTCTGCGGGCCGCATGTGGCCCGCGGGCCGTAGTTTGAAGACTCGTTTCATCCTCTCCACCGCCCGAGGGGAGAGGTGCTATCATCAGACCCATGTCACAGCAGAAGAAACGGAGGCACAGAGAAGGCAAAGACCGTGCCCAGAGTCACACAGCTGGTCAAAGTGTGACGCTAGGATTCCCACACCAGGGGTCTGGGTCAGGAGCCCTTGCCCTGCCTCTCTCCTGCCCGCTCAGTTCTGGCACTGCACGTGCGCGCACACACACACAGCCTGCCTCTGGAGCTGGTCCCTCAGATCCCTCTCTGTCTGGCACAGCATCAACGCTCTCTGAAGGCTGTGACCTCTATTTATTTATCAACCTCCAAGAGCTATCGCTGTCCCCGAGGACACAGAGCAGACACAATAAATCACTCTGGAGTGGGGGTGCAGGGGCAGAAAGTTGGGGCTGTGTCTGACTGCTGGGACACTTGACCTGCGCCTCTGTTTTCACCCCTGTCGGACTCCCAGGAAGGGCAGCAGAAAGGGACTGGTCCCTGTCCTAGAGGCCAAGGCAGCATGGGATCCTCCAAGAGCCAGGATTCTTGGATGAGACCTGCAGAGACAAAAGGCCAGCCCGCCCTCCAGAACAACCCTCCCAACACCCCAGTCTGCAGACTTCCCATTCAGGAACTTGAGGCTGCTCTTCCCCTTTCTTCCCAAATTATCTGACACCTTAAAGCAAGCAGAATCACGCTGGAAGGTCTCAGGAGCCCCAAGTAATTGAATCTATTAAACAGACACTTTCGGTTCTGTCCTAAGGGAGCAGAATCCGGAGGCAGAGTGCGGTGCAGAAATGAGACAGCTTTCCGTGTGTCTCCTCCTGGGAGGCTGTGGGCATGGGACGTGTGGGAAGCAGGGGGCTGTGTGCCAGTGTGTGTGTGAGTGCGCGTGTGAGGTGGCCCTGCAGGCTGAGCCGGTGCGCACAGGAGCGTTGGTTGGGTAGTGTGCTCACGTGCGTGTGCAGGGGGAGGATAGGAAGTGTGTGCTTCGGTGAATTGTAAGGAGTATGTGAGATGGGCCTCAGGAGTTTTGGTAGGGCCAGATCGCATGGCACTCAGAACTGGCAATGGGTTTTCCTTGTCAAGTGGCTCCCGGGTTGACATTTTAAGTGTGTGCCCTTGGCTTCCATCAGAGAGCCACTTCAGAAGCCACGTGAGAACTGCTGTGCTAAGCCATGGTTAAAATACAGCCGTGCTATGCAGTGGCCCTCGAGGAAGGGCCTAAGCTTTTCAAGTTTAGCCTAGGAATAAGGTTCTCTCTATTGAAATGTGGCTACACAGCAGAACCAAACCCCCACCTGTCCAAATCCTACAAGGATGAGGTATCGATATTGGCCATAAATTTAAATTCTCCTCGTAGCATCTTATGCATTTTCGACACAGCCATGGTTGGGCGGGGCAGGGGCGTGGGCTGAAGGGCTGGAATGAAGGAATGCCTGTGGACTGAAGCGGCCCCAAGGAGACCTCACATCTGCCATCCCAGCCGGAGGAACCCAGTGCAAGCTCTAGTTCACCCAAGGAAGAAGGTTGGCATTTTGGCAACAGGCTATTTCCATGGGAAGTCTTATATTTTCTATTTCTAACTGAACAGTATTATTGAGTCTGTGCCACCTCTAGTCAACTGTGGAAACAAGAGGATATGAGTAATAAATGGATTTCTATTCAGATTGGACACCATCTCCCGAGGTGCCCTGCCTAGTAGCTTGGTGCTATATACACTTGCAATCTGAGGCGAGCAATTCCAATCGATCAAATGTTGACTAGACCTGATGGGGCTCAGAAGTCCATGCAGGGCTGTGGCAGGGTCAGGCTCCATCCTGCAAGTCTTGGGGAGCTATCTGCCAAGGAACTGGTGCTCCAATCCAGGCGTGCACAGTGCTGGGGCCCAGGGACAGGGAGGACGGGCAGGCAGTGGTACCAAAGGCGGGAAGTCAGGCTAGAACAAGCCCTTCCTCAGGATGAAAAAGGATGAGAACTGAATTGGGCCTTGAAGGGCGACTAGGATTTTGATAGATAAGGAAGGAAGAGGCAAGCTTAATGGTTACCAAGACTCAGTGACTGGCCAGCGGCTATGCTGGGCTTCTTGCCCAGAGGGCATTCTAGACAGAGCAGATGCCATGGGGATATGCCTCTATGTGACCAACGCACTTGAAAACCAAGGAGCAGACCCGTGTGGTGGCAGGTAGGTGAGTGTGGCAGGAGGAGGGCCAGATCACACGGCCCCCTGAACACCAGCCAGGCCAGGAGTTTGGATTTTATCCTCTAGCCCACTGGGGACCACTAAAGGGTTTTAAGTCAAGAGTAACCTGCTCATGCCAACACCAGTTTGGCTCAGTGGATAGAGTGTCAGCCTGCGGACTGAAGGGTCCCGGGTTCAATTCCAGTCAAGGGCATGTACTTTGGTTGTGGGCACATCCCCAGTGGGGGTGTGCAGGAGGCAGCTGGTCGATGTTTCTCTCTCATCGATGTTTCTGGCTCTCTGTCCCTCTCCCTTCTTCTCTGTAAAAAAATCAATAAAATATATATATATATATATATATATATATATATATATATATATATATATATTTTTTTTTTTTTAAAGAGTAACCTGCCCAGGTATCCCTTTTAAAAAGATATTATTAGGAGCAGAATGGAAGAGAGAGGAGACAAAACCAGAAGTATTGAAAACTGCTGGCTGGCTCTGAGGGAAGTCCAGGACAGAGATAAGCTAGCTCTTAGATGGGCCCTAAGCCAGAGCCCAGTCAGTGCCTTTTCAAAGCTGTTGGGCAGACATCATGGCAGTGTGGCAGCATGTGTGCGGGCGGCCAGACAATATGAATAACTAACTGTAGGACATACGAAGACCACTGCCCTTTTACACATGATTACAGTGCGATAACACAGACGCACCATGTCTTTGAAAATGTAGGGTAGGCACTAGTACAATGAAAAACGTATGTCTATTTTCCAGATCACTGCAGAAGATAATAGCAAATAAAAATCTCCACATCTCCAAAGAATGAACCGTGATCTGAAGGAGACATAAAAATCGGAACGCTTAACACAAGGTACCAGGGATCAAGCCGGATGTAATGGTGCTGACGTGAATGCAAACGCAGAGCCTACGAGACTGGGTCACTCGTGACTGTCATTTGTCATTTGTCGGGTGCATGCTCCTCGCTGGGCACTCCTCTACGGTTCATAAGAGCAAGTATGGGCATGGGGTGATGCAGTGGGGCTCTCCAGGGTGGCTCTGGGTTCATAGACATCACATTCCAAAATGAGGTGGGATAACACCAACTGGGACTTGGAAAGGAGGAGTGAAAACCTGGGCCCATGCCATTAGCCAGCACTCACCTCTAGTCTATGAACAATGAAAGAGACTGGAGAAAGGGTTGGTGGGGGTGTAAGAGGAATTTTAGAGAGAACCCCCAGGACCAGGGAGCCCCAAGGGGTGAAGGTGCTTGAAGGAGACTGCGCCCCCCTTAGAAAGCTTAATATGTGGCCACAATGGTCTTAGGGCCACAGGGTACGGCCAGCTGACTCACACCTGGAAAATCTAAGAAGTGGGTGGCAGCTGGCTACCCTGATGGCCACGAGGGTGCTGCTGCTTCAGGGTCAGCCTGTACCCCCACGCGTGTGGGACCAATGGAGGTTCCAGCAGGTTCCGGCATGAGGGCCCAGATGGGACTGTCATAGATCTCTGCCAGGAGGGCCCTGGTGGGGGGAGGTG